ATATATATATATATATATATATAGATAGATAGATAGATAGATAGACAGAGAGATAGAGAGTGAGAGAGACAGACAGACTGACAGACAGACAGACAGACAGACACTCAGACAGACAGACACTCAGACAGACAGACAAACAGACAGACAGACAGACCGACAGAGAAACAGAGAAATTGTACAATTATCTTTAAGAAACGTATAAACACGTTTGACAACACGTAGATAAAAAAAAGGCAAATCTGAGACAAAGTGGAGCAGACAACAGTAGTTTATTAGTGATCAGTCACGTGTCGTGGACTCTAATAAATAAACGATGCCAGGGGGATAAAGCGATTCAAGCAGCAATGCTTGCGAGAAATGCATTGAAACTCTCTTCAAGGCATGGGAACACGGCATGAATTTATGGTCCAAAATGTATAACACAGCAGCGTACAGATCACATGACATGTCTACACAGATGTTTTGTAACCTGTCGTGATGTAGCCTCTGAACACTTTACATTAGACAGACAAAAGTAATTTGGTAAATAATTGTCATAATAGACATGTATAAGGTCATAAAACACAACAGACAAAGAAAGAAAAGAAAACAAAAAGACAAAAAGAAAATCGAAAACAAAAACAAAAACAAACACCACCAACAACAACAAAATCAGAACGATGAGACACGATGGACATCATTGAACCACCAAGGACCACCTTGATTGACGCTGCTTCAATTAATGTGTCCTCTTCCCCAACCCACCCCCCCCAAAAAAAAACAACAACAACAACAAAAAAACCAAAAAATCAACAACAAAACAAAACAAAAACAAAAACAAAAAACAACAACAGCGAACAAACAAACAACAATAACAATAACAATAACAACAACAATAACAACAATAAACCAGGGCAGTGCTACTGACTGAAGATGTCTTTAGACCATTCCCTATTGGGGGGGGAGGGGGTATTAGAATGTTCTTATGCACAGTAGAATTGTAAATGGGCTGATTTATCAATGTCATGCTCATCCTTACTATCGTTATTTTTCCTCTACTTCTTTTGTATGTTTGTCACTCTCTTGTGACCCGCTATTTCCGGGGTGCCTTGATAGTCGAAGCATACTTTGTGATGTTGAGGCTAGAGAGGTGAGCAGGGTAAGCCTGATTCCCCGTTTGGACTTCTCTGTTGACATCCACCCCTTGGCGCTCATATGACCTTATGCTGCTTCGAGCGCCGTAAAACCTTACCAAAACAAACAAACAAAATGTGTCCTCACAACTTCATTGCTAAATTTACCCTGCAGCCAATATACGACCAGTCATGTCTTTCAGATAAAGTATTGTTTTCCAACTGACAACCCGCATGCACTTTTCTCGAAACTCTGATCTTCGATTTTAATGGATTTTGTATTTGAACGACATATACGTGTCGTGGGTGGTTGGCGGGTGCTCTGGTGTGGTTTGCTCTTTCTTTCCTATCGAACATCTGTCGTCCTTATTTCTCCTCCTTCTATTCTTCAGCACTTATCTGACCTTTCTGTGTTGCAAATGCCGTAAAACTCTTACTAAAACTGAAAATATACGTGTCTAGACCAGTATAGAACATTGAGCTAAATCAGTTTTCGTTCATGCACAGCTGTGTGTCTTGTTGTGCGTATGTGTCAGTGCACATGACCTTTGTAACATCTACTTCACTGACATTGTAAACGACAAAGACATATTTCTCACTTCGAGATGAATAATGATTGTCATTATCATTGTCATTATCATTTTCTTTGTCATGATTTTATTTATACATGGTACAACCGTAAAAAATAAACACAACATACAATGTCATGAATGAGTGATTTTGAAGCAGCGGTTAATGGGATTCATTACGACGAGGAAAGAGACAGCTTATATTATATGGTCGCTTCTTAGCACAAGTGGGCTATCCTGATAAGTGCTGTTTTGAGAAAATCGAAGGTAAAGATTTTGCCCCTTATTCAGTTTCTTTCAAAGACAAGGAGAGTTTTCTCTATAACCAAACAAATATACACAACAATGAAACCAAACTTCTACTATAGGTAGGGCAATGCCCATGTTTGGTGTAGGTCAAGATTTCTGGAAACCCCCGCGAAATATGGGTTAGCCCGCTTGTCCTTAAAAGTGACCAATTTCCTCAGTTGTGAACGAGCTGTTTCTGACAAGCGCTGATAACAATGATCCTTGAGAAAATGGCATGAGGTATGAATATATTTTATTTAACAGGATGAATGTGGATAAAAAATATAGAATTATTGCACCTGGGATTATTTCAAATCTCACTGGAGACACATTTAACGAAGTATGAGACTGAATGATGTAAGCGTTCACCTCTGTATGGTAGAAAGAGGTAAAGCTGGGAAGAAAATATAATTTGAACTAGCACAGGAGTGCTGGCAGAGAGAGAGAGAGAGAGAGAGAGAGAGAGAGAGAGAGAGAGAGAGAGAGAGAGAGAGAGTA